TCCAGGTGTGGGGCAGGGCCTGGAGCATCTCTGCTGCCTTGTAATCTGGACGACATCAGGCTACTCGGGTGATGTGAGAAGGAGCCAACTGGCCGGCGATGGCACAGTTCAGCCATCAACACAATCATGAAATGAATTAAGACACATCAACTGTGTTTGAATCCCTGAGTTTATAAAGATGACTAAACACCACAATAAAAAACCCTAATTGGCCACCACTGGATAATGATAGTAAACCACTCATTAGTTTGAAAACTGGCAAATAAAAGAAAAGAATCAAACATTTATCCTATCTTTCCTATATTACGAGACAATCAAATAATAGGGGTGTTCGATTATTTGCATTTCAGCTAATCAAAGAAGAAAGTGATAGGATTAGAACACCACCATTTATAATCCCCGATTAACTCCTGGATGTAAGCAATAAATACAGCTGCTGATACCACAGAAAGGGAGACAACTAGACACTATGATCTCACGAAAGAGCACAATGCAATCTAAGGAGTAGTGTTGCCCACAAAGACCGAACTGCCAATTTATCAGAAATACAGATGGCAGAAGAACACGTTAAGTAGCACCACAGGGCTGCACTCAGAAGAATCCAGACTGTGTGACTCTCTACAGGACAGAATCCGATTTCTTCATCAAATAAATAGCAAGGCAGCAGGGAGCGGAGGGGGATGGGAGAAGCCGGAAGATGAAGAGGCGCGTACCAGGCAGGCCAACTGACTGCAGTGTGTGGCCCTTTTTGGATTCCGATTTTAAATAAAAGTTAAAAACAAGTATTTATGGCCCTGGCTGGTTTGGCTCAGCGGTCGGTTAGAGCATTGGCCTGCAGACCACTGAGTTGTGGGTTCGATTCCAGCCAAGGGCACCTACCTCGGTAGTGGTTCATCCCCGGCCCTGGTCGGGGTCGTGTGGGAGGCAACCAGTCGATGTGTCTCTCTCACATCGATGTTTCTCTCTCTCTCCCTCCCACTCTGCCTGAAGATAAATAGAAAAATATCCTCGAGTGAGGATTAAAAACAAAACAAAAGAGGCGTTTATGGAACTATTAGAAATTTGAACACTTGCCTGATGTTTGATGATATTAAGAGTTTATTGCTAATTTGTTAAGGTGTGATAATCATATTGTGGTAATGAAACCCAAGGGTCAGTTTCTTTTAGGGATACATACCTAAGTATTTACAGATAAGATTATATAATGTGTTGGTGTGTATATATATATAGATAGATATAGATATAGATAGATATTTAAATTTGCTTTAAAATAACCCAGTGATAGGTGAAAAAGTAGGGGAACGTAGATAGAATGAGGCCAGTCTTGTATTGGTGATTGCTGAGGCTGGGAGAGGGTCCTAAAGATTTGTTGCTCTGCTCTTTCCACTTTCCAACATTTATAAGTTTCATAATAAGACATTCTAATAAATCCTTCCCAATGTCACGCGCAGAGAGATGGCACCAGGCTTACTGCATCCCGGTTCTGACCAGGATCCCTTTCTGATGTTCCGGGAACAACGAAGAGTTGAGCTCTGTGCTCTGGGCCATGCATCGGAGCGTCTCCATCCGCAGGGGGCTTCTGTACCCTCTCCTTACCCGGGCGGGTCCACATGTGCTCGGGAGCACACCCATGTACACATACAAAAGTCTATCAGAAAAAAATTTCTCATGACAAATATTTTGCTTTGAAGCTTCAAAGGGTATGAGGGACTGGCGATTTCATGCAAAGACACGGAAATCCATAGAATAAAATCTTTCTGGCACAGGCATTCGGTGGAGTTCACGGCCACGATGAAGCAAAGACAGTTCTAGCTTTGAGATTGGCGGGTGTTTCCATCCTGAAGTTCTAAGCGAATGGCAAGGGACATTGGATGCATTTTCATGCCATTATTTACATCAGTGCCTCTGAGTTTTTAAAATCAGATAATACAGTAGCCCCGCCCCCCCTTATCTACAGGGGGATATGTTCCAAGACCCCTAGCGGATGCCTGAAACTGTGGATAGTGACAAACCCTAGTCAACTTCTTCAGCTCTGTCGGAAATGTGGCAGCAGCTTCTTCGTCCACGGATGCAGTCTCTCCAGTAATTTCTATTTTATGGTCCCAACCTAATCCCCGAATCTGCGGAACCATCCCTCACTTGCAACAAATAGCTTGGTGTTGCTTGTTTCAGGGGATCCCTCGCTAAAGTCTGTGCAGACTCATGCTTTCTAGGGCATCGCTGGCATCGACGGGAACACGTGTTCTGTGCACGCCTTCCGCCCACCCCTCGATGCCCTGCCCCTCTCAGCCACACACGTCTCGCGCCCGTGGCTCTGACTTTCACAGCTTGAGGTGCGAAATGTGTGCAAAAGGAGCACACATTTCCTTTTCCTTCTCCGCAGTTTCAGGGATAGAAGATACATTCTTACTGTAGATCTTAGCAACCTCAGCATACAATGTTTTCTCTTTCCTCATTAAGAGGAGAACTTGGACCTTTTCCCTTCCAGGAAGCACCTTGTGGCTTCTCCTTGGCACGTCTGGATGGCCAACACCACTACTGTTGCGCTCTGGGGAAATTAGTAAGTAAAATAAGGGGGACTTGAAGGCCAGCACCGAGATACCTCGACAGCCGGTCTGCTGTGATAACTGAGGACAGCTGCTCAGCAGCCGCACGGGGAGCGCCTACGGCGTGGACACCTGAACAAGAAGATGAGTCACGTCCCAGATGCGATGCAGCGGGATCGCGGGAGAGTCCAGCACGCTGCTCAGAACGGTGCGCAATTTAAAACTTGCGAATTGGCCCTGGCCGGTTTGGCTCAGTGGTTAGAGCATCGGCCTGCGGTCCGGAGAGACCCAGGTTCGGTTCCCACTAAGGTCATGTACCTCGGTTGCAGTTTGTCCCCAGCCCTGGTTGGTCGTGCGGGTGGCGGCCACTCGATGTGTCCCTTTCGCGTTGATGTTTCTCTCTCTCTCTCTTCCTCTCTCTCCCTCCCACTGTATCTGAACAAAAAATGGAAAAATGTCCTCAGGTGAGGATTAAAAATAAAATAAAATAAAATAAATACAAATAAAACTTAAAAAATGTTTATTTCTGGAATTTTCCATGTAATATTTTCGGGCCATGGTTGATTGCAGGTAACTTAAACCACAGAAAGAGAAGCTGTGGATACGGGGGTACTACTGACTGCGGTTGCTGTTTGGGGGGGCACCTCTGTATTCCAGGCCCTGTGCAGTGTGATGAGATACCACAAAGACCGTCTGAAGTCCCTGCCCTCAAGGAGAGTACTGACTAGTGGGGGGAAAATGACAAGGAACCGGGCAATTTCACAAATGGATGAGGCGCCTCACGAGGCGCCTCACGGGGAGAGCCCGGGGGCCTCCTAACCGTGCATGGCACCCTTAGGGCACATCTGCTGGTGAGGCTGCGAAAGAACCAGAAGTCATCCCACACTGCGAGGCAGGGCTGGGAGGTGCCGTTTCTAACCATCAGCAGCAAATCAGTTTCCTACCTCCTGGTCCCTAACTTTTATGTCCCACACCCAGGGACAGGGCTGAAGGTTCTGGTCTTCGCCCCCCAGCTCTCTTCATTTCGCTCATCTGCAGGGTCCACAGAGAATTTGAGTAGTTTGCTCTCCCAGAGACAGGGCAGTGGTCCCCCTTTATCTGTGTTTTTACTTTCCGCAGTCTTGGTACCCGTGGTCAACTGTGGTCTGAAAACATTCAATGGGAAATTCCAGAAAGAGACAGTCTCTAGGTGTTGCATTGTCACTGTTCTGAGCAGCGTGATGAAATCTTCCTCCTTCCTGCTCCATCCCACGCAGGACGTGAAACTGCTCCCCGCCCGGCAGTCACCAAGGAGCCCTCTTGGTGACCAGAGCCACTGTCCGGGCATCGCCCTGTTTGTGTTCAAGGCACCCTCGTTGTACTTAGAAATGGCCCTAACGCGAAGGAGGAGCGACGCTGGTGATGTGCACACGCCACAGAGAAGCGGCCACATGCTTCCTTGAAGTGAAAAGGTGTGAGTTCTCACCTTAAAAGGAAAGAACCTCAGTTGTTATGCTGAGGTTGCTAAGACCGACGGTAAGACTGGATCTTCTATCGTGAAATTGTGAAAAAGGAAAAAAGAAATCCATGCTCGTTTTGCTGTCACACCTCAGACTGGGAAGGGTCCGGCCACAGTATGTGTAAGTGCTTAGCTAGGTGGGGAGGGCATTCACGTTGTGGGTGGGAGGCACGCCTGATCGGGGGTCCCAGCCCATGGCAGTGTGTTGAGCCTGTGCAGAAACTTCAGCAAGGAATCCTCTCTAACGAAGGACACCAAGTCATTTACTGCAAGTGAGGGATGGTTCCACAGATTCAGGAATAGGTTGGACTAAGAGATGTAAAAATTACTGGAGGGAGGGAGAGAGTGCGCATACATACATCCACATCACTTTGAGTACTGTTTATTATTATTACTGTCCTATTTCATTATTAATTATTGTTGTTAATCTCTTAGTTGTCTAATTTATAAGTTGAACTTTATCATAGGTATGTATGTATAGGAAAAAACACAGTAGATATAGGATTTGTTTCTATCTGGGGTTTCAGGCCTCCACTGGGATCCTGGAACATACCCCCTGTGGATAAGGGGATCACGATGGATGAGCGTAGGGTGGTGGGTATGACTGTGAGCTTCACGGTTAGGTGTGGGCTGGACCCAAGCCCTGGCAGCTCACTATACCCACTGATGGTGTTGTGTTATAGATTCTACTACTGACTTAACCACAGGACCTCAGATTTTGTAAAACACTTTGGAAAAGAGAAGGCATATGACTGTACATTTCTATTTCTATGCAATAACGTAGCTAATCGAGGAAAATGATCCTCCTGGAATTTCACTGTGCACCTACCTGGGATGGTTTCCACTGATGACCTTATAAATAATACGACCTGGAATTCTAGCTCATGTTGAAGGGTGGGGTGGTGGAGTGGGCAACGAACACCTTTCGACAGAACCATTCGAGTAGTTAAGCAAACCTGGGCATCTTCATAGGTGTATCTCCCTCCCTCCTTGAGGTTCTGACTGGTTATCTCGTAGCTGTGAGAATCCAGGTTGATGGCACTGGGGGCCCCTGGAGACAGAAACTCCTGCCAGATTTCTTCCACCCTCTTGGCCACGTCCTGTAGGGGCTGCTTCTTGAGATCTTGGACAGCCAACCAGAACCTGGAGAGGAAGTGCAGACAGTCAGTCCCAGGGGCTTAGCACCTGGACTCTGCCCGACATGGTCCCAGCACTGACACTCCTGAGACCCGCTCTGCCGCCGCCAGTCTTCCTGCGGCCACCACCCGGGAAACAGGGCCCGCAGGGACGGCTGGGATGCGAACGGCGCTCTGCTGTTGTGGAGACCCGAGCAGAGGGACCCCGGGAGACCGCTGCGCTTCTGGTTACCACGAAGAGGTTCCTCCCTCCCACAGCGCAGCTCCGCAACCACAGCACCGGCGCCATTTCAAGCGGGCTTGTTCTTTCTGTGCCGCCTGCCTGTGCACCGTAGGGTGTTCAGCAGCAACCTTGGCCTCTACCCACCAGATGCCAGCGGCAACCCTTCCCCAAGTTGTGACAACCAAAGATGTTTCCAGACATTACCACATGTCCCCTGGGAGGAGAAGTCACCCCTGGCCGAGAACCACTGCTCTCCACAGACACCACAACACGGACAAAAGTGAGTTCCTTTGTCACCTCTGGTTGGGATCAGCTAGAGGTATCAAAACAAAGACCAGAGAAACAGGTAGAGTCTTGGAATCATGAAGAATATGTGAGCCGGGAGGACCCAGCATGGTCCAGATGTGTTGATTCCCAGAACTGCGTTTGCATAGAGTAGGCACTCAGGAAACGGCTGTGGATGGAAGATGAGCTCATCTTGCACAAAGCTGAAGGGGCGACCATGGGGGGCCTCTGCCAGAAGACTCTCCAGAAGCACTGCTCGCTTCCACATCTGCCTCTCACAAACCCTCCGTGTTGGCACGGCAGCAGCCGTCGGGAGGGCTGGGTGAGGTCTGTTCTGCTGAGAACAGCGGCGACCAGAGCCAAAGCTTGGGCAATAGCTCCCCGGGTCCTGAGACGGTTTCCAAGGCAGCCCTGGGGAGGGCATTCAGCAGGGCCCAGGTGTGGGTGGCACACCTGTGCCCCGTGAAGAAGACGGGACAGTTTCCCCATCAGTGTGACCTTAGGACAGGCCCGCGGCTGTGTGATTCCCATAGCCACAGGCGTCCCGCATAGCCAGTCCGTGAAAGAGAACTGAAACACAACATGGTGGAAAAATGCATCCAATCTGTCATCGAGTTTCACCCAAAGTAAGATGTACTTGTTGTTTTTTAAAAGGTTAAGCATGTTTTCCTGTTGCTGTTCAGAAAGCTGTCTTTGGAGCCACGTGTGTGGCCCAAAGGCACCACCTAGTGGCCAACTTCAGTACTGCATCTCCGATTCCGCGAGGCAAGGAGACAGGTGTGCGTGTGCACGTGTGTGTGTGTGTGTGTGTGTGTGTGTGTAGGGGGGGTGGCTCTAAGTGTTCCCCGATCTCCCGCTTGGGATTCCAGTCATCTCCAGTCACCTCATGGCTCCCTTGGTGATTCCGAAGAGCATGAGTGAAAGGCAGGGAAGGAGACTGTGACTTTACTCAATCGAAAGATGAGGAAGCAGTGGGTCCTCACCCTGGCTATGCCGCCGTCTTGGAGTTGTATCTTCCGGGTCTCTCTCCTCACCTGTACACGGGTGCAGAGTGGGTGGAGGGATCTGTGAGGCACGCTGGAAGAACTTCCCATCCAGGTGTAAGGCGGAAATGCACGCAGGTCCCCTGGGTGGGACCCGAGGAGGGGTCAGCGTGGTGGTCACAGGTTCAGAACCAGGCCCGTGAGCCCTCAAATTTCGTCTGTTACTCCAGGCGCCTGGGCGGAGGCTACCTGGGGCTCTCACCACGGCCATCTGTTGTCACCTGGCCTTCACACAGCCCCTTCTTCCTGCCCCAGGTCTTTGTGCTCCGGTCCTCTGACAGCCGGGGCCAGAGGAAGGATGGCTCTCTGCCCAGAGTCCAGAGACGTGGAGGTGAGAGGAGCTGCGAACCTGCTCAGGTGTGCCTGGGCCCTGGACACTCATCTGGGGAGTGAGTCCCCTCCTTCCCTGTCCATCCCCAGGCTCCCGAGGGCGCTCTGCCCCGCCCCCTGGGCCTGGGAGGGAGGAGGTGGCTGAGGCGGAGAGGTGAAGACAGTCATCACGATGACAGCGCTACCTCTCTTCACCTGGAGGACCGTGTTTGACAAGCAGGTCAAGCTCAGGAAAGCAACTCTAAAGAAGCAGCTGGTGTTGGATTTTCAAAGGACTGGAGGAGGGTGAAGGGGCAAGTCCCCAAGACCCAGTGAGTCAGTCCTCTGCCGCCCGAGCTGGACAGGTGGGACAGTGGCCCTCTCTCAGGGAGTCGCCCTGGGCCCAGTGCCCGGGCGGGAAGCCACTTCTCTGGACCAGCGTTCGAAGCCCAGCAGACCTCACAGCCTCTCACACAGACGAATGACACCTGGGAGATTCCCTGCCCCCCCAGTCAAGGCCTCCCTCTGTCATCTTCCGTCCCCTTTTCCAGTCTGCTCTGTGGGGGCCATTGAGACCCTCTGGGAAGGCCCCGAGGGCCCTGCAGCTTCTGAGCTCTGCAGATGCCCTGGGGTTCCTGAGGCCTCAGAGACACTTTTGCAGAATGATCAAGGCGCCACATTAATGCACACCGCCCAGCTGGTACTGAGGTCTGGAGCTGATGGAAATGGACATTTCAGAATCAAATGTAATAAACGTTTACATTAAAAATGAAAAGATTCCCTTTATCAGATAAAAAGTACAAGAAGAAACAATGGGTATGCTGGAAGAGGAGGGGCTAAGGAAGAGGAGGAGGGAGAGGAGGAGGAGGAAGAGGAGGGGGGAGGAGGGAGAGGAGGAGGGAGAGGAGGGGGAAGGAGGGAGAGGAGGAGGGAGAGGAGGGGGGAGGAGGGAGAGGAGGAGGGAGAGGAGGGGGAGAGGGGGAGGAGGAGGGAGGAGGAAGAGGAGGGGGAAGAGGAGAGAAGCGGGGAGAGGAGGGATGACATTCCCAGACAACGGGTTTCTCTCCCTGCCTGGAGACCCTCTCAGCCTCTGTCTGCCTTGGAGATGACCTGCCTTCCTCTCAGGTGACAGCGAAACTGCTATCACAACAGCATCCCGACTCCCCATGTGTATTTGCCATCATCCGCTTTGAAGAAGCTTTGTGTCCATTTGAAATTCAGAACAGGCTTTGGTTCGTGTTTGCCATCTGTGACTCTCGGGCCCGAGCCGCGCTCGGAGCCTGGCTGCCCGGCCGCAGCCTCCCCGAAAGAGCTCGGCAGCTCCCTCGCCCACGGACTGCGGCTGGGAGGCCCCCCGAGGCTGGCGCAGCTTCTTTCCTTATCAGAAGCCCGCAGGTACCGCTCCTCCTGAGGACGCCCGCGGGCAGGAGGCGCCGGCAGCGGCATCAAACCACCCATCCTGCACTAAGCCCCGTGGCGGGCAGCCGGAGGGCTGCGTGCCTGGCAGGCGGCAAGGACTCACTGGTATCAGGGAGACCACCTGTCCTGCCTGGCCCGAGTCGGCAGAGCGCAGGCCGGCAGCGGGCCAGCACGTGACCTGTGTCCATGGCTCGGGAACGCGGTCGGACACCAGGCTCTGCAGGGAGGCAGCCTGGGCTCAGACACCACCGGCTGAGCAGCAGCCCAGGGGACGTGCTGGCAGCCTGGGGCTGGCTCCCTCAGGCCGGGATGCTGACGGGAAACGGGCTCTTCTCCTCACGGCTGCTGGAACACGGAAAGCCATTCTCAATCCTGCCAGGGGGCCTGGGCAGCCCCCAGTTCCTAGCTTACAGCTTTTCATAAACTAGCATTTTCATGGGTTAGAAAAATCCAGCTTTTAGTTCATTTGCAGAAAAAAGCAAACTCCTTGCAAAGGAAGGGTTTCTGTGCCCTCTGCTGGTCAACAGGGACGCAGGAGCCAGGGATGCAACCTGACGTCGACTCTGGGTGGGCTGAAGCCTTCCCCTGCCAACCTCAGTGAGGCCACCAGCACCGCCCCCGGGAGCTGAGCTACGCTCACCGGGCAGCGGCTGAAATGCCACCGATGGTCAGGGCGTGGCGCGTCGCCTTTGTCCTGGTTCATCATGTGTGTGGTCTGTGGTGAATCCCCCGGGGCCTGGCGAACCTTTCCAGGACTTGGGGCCACCACTGGAAGGGGGGGCTCTCAGTGCAAACCTGGCGACTCCCCTGAGCTCCGTGTAATCGCTTCTCCCTCAGCTGACTGCGTGGAAGCAGGATCATCAATCTGCAGGTTAGAACAGCCCTGTTCTCTCCGGAGGCGGCCCAGCTCATAAAAAATGTACGGGGGACGCTCTGTGCTGCAGGTTGTGATTTTTAACTCGTGCCCTACTGTGTGGCAGAGGCGAGGCCAGGAGGACGGAGACCTGTGCAGGGGGAATGAGAGGTACAAGGCGGGCGGCTCCTGCCCCATTCTGGGAAGATGTGCAGAGAAGGGGGGGCATGACCTCGGGTAACCCACCAGGAGTCCCCGCTTCAGAGCTGGGAGGCCCCCACCTTCCGAAGGCCCCAAGCAAACAGCTGTGTCCAGGGGCCCACCAGTCCGAGTGACGCTGGGCTCCACTCTGGGGGCCGCAGGGGGTGCTCTCACATGTCCTGTCTGCCACCTCTCCCTCACCTGCCAGCTCACCTCCAAGCAAGACCGAAGGGGACTTCAGCTTACACTGTACTGTCACAGGCAGCGTTCCTTAAAGGGCCCAGGGTGACCTTTGCTGTGTGACAGCAATGCTGTCTCTGTGGAGTTGCTGTGGTCTGACTCTGACACTCCGGCATACATTCAGCCACCTGGCCACTGGACGGGCACTCGGGCCCGGGGCAGACGTTGTGATCTCAGAACCCTTCACCGGAGCGCTGCAAGGGGGCACAGGAAGCTGGGCCTGCAGGGGTGCGGTGCGTTCCGCTCCGTCTCTTTTCCTCCCGTGCTCCTGCGCCAGCTGCCGGGGATCTGGACCAGTCCTGGGGAGAAGCCACGACCCCAGCGTGGCCGACACAGCAGATGGGCAGGATCCCCAGGGGCTGCCGTTCGCATGGCCCACAGCGGAGGGCACGGGGACGAGATGCCCACTCTGAGTCCTCAGGACCGGGTCATGCAGGCGCTAAGCCAACATTTGTGGTTGAAGGAATAATTACCAAGGGCAGGGGAGAGACTACCTGGTAACGAGGGACTGAAGAGTCCTGAAGCTGTGTGATTGAAAACTGAGCTTTGCTCCCACGTATCCAATGACGCCGAATATCATGAAAGTGGAATTTGGACCTTCACAGAGGACTTTAGAGGCTCTTGGGCTATACTCTGGCTAGTCCATAGTTTCTTTATCCTCTCTCTCGACATGCGCTGGAGGGGACCCTCCTTAAGTCTGGGTTTGTGCGTTCATGGGCAGGTCCATCACGCACACTCACACACGCTCCTCCCCCCAGACTGAACGGAGCCCTCCCGGCACCAGAGGGAGTTGCTGGCAGAGGCACAGAAGTAAGGGTGGGTGCTGAGCATCTGCCAGCAACACACTCCTCCGTGCACGCCGGGCCTTCCACGTGATGCGCCGTGAAACCAGTCTGAGCCGTTAGTGGGTGTGGCTGCCCGAGCGCACAGGGCAGTGCTGAGCCAGCAGACGCTCCTGCCCTGGGCCCTTCACAACGCCCAGGACGCGGTGGCCGTTCTTCAAAGTCTCTGTAAGGGTGCAGGCGGCAGAAGGTCACAGGCCACACAGGCCTCTGTTCCACTCTGTCTTGAGGACCCGTGGGGAACAGGATGAGACGAACAGATAAAAGGGACTTCCAGGGATGACTCACAGGGACCAGGCTGGAGCTGGGAACGGGAGCTGAACCGCCACACAGAGCGGCTGCCTGGAGGCCTCAAGCTGGCCACAGAGGGCTTGGCTTTCCAAGCAGGAACCACATCCAGGCTCAGCCTGGGAGCCTGCTCTGAACATCCTACTGGAGTTTAAAGTCAGCCTTCCATTGCAAATACCTGATTAGGAACTGGAGCAAAGCCCCGAGGTGCGTCCAGCATGCTTCATGCAGGGAAGGAGCTCTGGGGTCATAACCTGAAATCAGACACTCCACCTTACCAGGTTTACAGTGGGCCCATGGCTGCCTTGACAAAGTCATTGGCATCTACAAGTCTCCCTGGGTCTTCATGGCTCAAAGCCTCGCCCAGCCCAGGATACCCTCTCCCTTTCCCATCTATCAGTACCCTGTGTGCTCTACTCTGGCTTACATTCATCCCTTTCTCCTAAACACTTCTGCAATGGTTCTTCAGAGTCTGTCCTTGTTTATATTCATGTAATGACTTAATCGGTTCTTGTGTCTTTTCCTCAAGGATCTCCACGGCTGCTGCAGGCAGAGTACGCACCTCAGCTTCCTTGTGCCCTCAGCGAACGCTCGTGGGGCTCGGTCTGGCCCGGGTGTGTGGGAAATACCATTTCGTTGGTGCACGGGGCTGATATGATCTCTACCTCCACATAAATCCTATGGACTCTGCACCTTAGCACTGGGGTGGACCCACATTTATGCTCTGGCTTTTAGAAGTTCGAAAACATTCAAAGAAGTTCATGAAGCCACTCTTTGAATAAATTCCATCGGAACATAGGGATTAACCTGCGTATAGAAGAGAACCTGGTACCAAGAAAAACAGAGATTTCTATCTTCCCCACTAAGAAGTCACCAGTGGGCTGAGATCTCTAAAGAAGTTGCATATGCCACAGGTCTCTGCTTCCGCATTGAATACAATGAAGGCCTGACTCAGCCACAAGTTTCCCATTTGTCATAACCATGAGCCCTTTCCCTTTTAATGCACCCCCTTTCCTCCCTCCGTGGACCTCCTGTTTTGAAAGCTTTATTTTTCCTACTGTTCAGTAATTATTAACACATTAATACACTTTCTCTTATTTTGATGAGTCATAGATCAAAGGCACAATCAGATACCCCCCTGGCCTCGGGTGACCAGAATAGCCACGGACTTGATAGAACCCCCCCCAGAAGAAAAGCATGCTTTTTTGCTTGTTTGTTTTTGCTAATGCTCACCGAGAATATTTTTCCTTTGCTTTTTTTTTTTTTTAGATAAAGTGGAAGGAAGGGAGGAAGAGAAACAGAGAGAGAAACATCGATTTGAGAAAAGCACATCGACTGGTTGCCTCCTGCATGACCCTCACCAGGGCTGGGGATCGATCCTGCAACCCAGGTATGTGCCCTTGACTGGGAATCAAACCCACAACCCTTCAGTCCACAGAATGACACCCCAACTGATGAGCCAAACCGGCCAAGGCAAAAAGCACGATCTAATTAGCTTTGACAGTTATGTTTGAGTTAGTGAGTGACGTTTACTCGTGCTTTCTGAAATTCTGAAACGAGGCCACAGACCCTTTTCCTTCCGGCTGGCCTGCCCCAGATCCAGGACCCTGGCCTGGGGGCGTTCTGAAGGAGAGGGTGTCTGAGCTCTTTCCTCCGAAACTCCCTGGCTCTGTGGCTTCGGTTAAAGGGTGGTGCATCACACCCATTTGACATTCACTTGTTATTGGAGCTGCGTTTCCAATAACTCGAGGAAATGCCATCTGTCCTTGAGGAGCAGTCAACGCGGGAGTGGTGGCTGCTGGGATGGCGACAGCCCAGCTGCATATAAAGTGTGCTCGTCTCCGTCTCAACCTTTGTCAGAGGGGCTGGAAATCGATCGGCGCCCTAACATTTTACTGAAAAGGGGAGGCAGAAAGAGAGGCTGACCATGCAAACCCCCTCGTACACACTCTGCGCCCCGCTCAAGGCTGAGCAAGGTTACCTGAGGTTTTCGGAACTGAACTCGGACTCCAGGAAGCGTAGGAACTGGTCCCGCCCCGCCTGGTCCTTCAACATCTCGTCGAAAGAGAAGCCCCATCTCTTTACTCGCTGCTGGCTGGGCTCTTTGCTTTTGGAGGAACAAAGGTGTGAAAAGGATCAGTATCAGGCAGAGACCCCGGTCACGTTCCCTCCTGCAAGTCGAACCTATTTTGCCGCCCGGGAAATTGCGCATATTTAGGGTATAGATTCTATGAAAACCTGTACAGACTCTAATTGCAGACTTCCGTACCCCAAGGCGAGTCCATGGTGAAGGTCTCTCTCTGTAAGGAAGGTACGTAGGGCAGGGTCACCAGGAGGTGACCCCTGCCTACAGGAGGGGCCTCTGCCTACAGGAAACACCACACCCCTCTGATTGGGTTTCCCTGGACCCTTCCTGTCAGCTATAGGCCCAACTCTGGACTCATCATTTTTCACCTCTTTAAAAAAATAACTGGGGATGCCTGAGAATCACAGAGACACTGTCCCACCTCTCACCCCTGCTTCCGTCCACAGGGAGAAATAGAGTCCTGTTTAGGTCCAAGGGATGTACGACTGGTCAGAAACGAAACAACTCATCCAGGATAAGATCGGTTCACTCATTTAGAAGCAGAACGTTGTGTTTACTTATTGATACAACCACCACCTGCTCGGTGTTTATGATGTGCTGGGCATTTTACATCCCTCACGCCTTCTCTGTAAAACATGTACTAACTAGCACGATCCCCATTTGACAGCTAGGGAAACGGAGGCCTGGTGATGATTTGCCCAAGGACACACCAGAAAGCGAGGGAGTCAAAGCCCCAGTGGTCAGTGCGGCTCTAGAGCACAGCTTCCAACTGCTGTGCCCGCCACTCCACGTGGCCCCTCAGACCCATGCGGGTCGGGAGGCGGGAGGTGGTGGTCTCATTCCTTTGGGTTTGAGAGGTGCAACTATTTCCTTCAACTTCTGTCTTCCCATCCACACTTCATGGGCTGTGTTTATTCCGCCGGCCCTTCAGCAGCGGTGGGGGCCTAGTTCACAAGTCACAGCTGCAGTCTCCCCTCCAGGAGTGGGCTGTGCACCTGCAGGGGGATGCAGGCCCATCTCAGACCCGGAATCAGAGTCCACAGTGTAACAAGATCCCTGGGAGATGTAAGTGCACATTCCACTCTGAGAGCCGTTAGCCTAGCAGCACTTATTATTCCTCTTCCCAAAAACTGTCACCTGACTTCGGGTCAAGACAGCCGCGTAGGTAAACATGGTATCGCCTCCTCCCACAACCACATTAAAATTACAACTAAACTACAGCACAATCATCATTCAGAACCGCCTGAAATTGAGCTGAATGGAAGTCCTACAACCACGAAATTAAAGAAGCCGCCACATCGAGACTGGTAGGAGGGGCGGAGGCGGTCAGACTGGTCTCATACCCACATGGGGCGGATAAAAATCAGGAGGACACCTCGGTTGTGAAGGTCCTCCCTGAGGACTGAGGGGTCCCCGTTCTGGCTCAGGGTTCCAGTGGCAGGAAGAGAAGTCTCCATAACTTCAGGCTGTAAAAACCATCGGGAACTGAGGCTGAGGGAGGGTGTGGCTTCTGGAGCCCCAGGCAGCCCCTCTTAAAGGGCCCGCGCACGAACTTGCTCAGACTTGATCCCTCTAAGCTCGGAGGGGAGGCAGCTTGAAAGGCACCAGAGACATACAGGGAAGAACTGAGCTGTTTGACCTTGGGACAAGGGCTGGAGAGGGGGCTTTCTCTGGGACAAACGTGCTGTCAGAGGCCTTTGTTCCTTTGGTGAGTCCTTCCCTGGGGCGGCAGACAGCCGCCATATCTGGGACTCCAGCAACCTGGCTCACACTGGTAGCCCCACCCTGGTTACTCCCTGAGGCCCCGCCCCACCCAACTTTCAGGCCCACCCAAGCTGTTCCTTGTAGCTTTCCCATAGGATTGGCCTGTCTTGGATCCTGCTTCAGAGTTTCCTAAAATCTCTCAAATAAGCAGCATCTGGTCTCAGCAAGCCCCACACCTCTTGTTAAGTGGCCCCAGGCCTGGCACTAGAAGCAGCCAGCCTTGGGTCACAGACTGGCTTTTCCTGGGCACCTCCAAGCCCAGCACAAGAAGCAGCCATCTGCAGATCACTTTGTAGCTTAGGCCGGGTGGCCCCGGATAGAACACAGACCGTGGCTGACCTTGCCCCAGAGCCAGCACACCCAGTTGACAGCTTCAGACCACATCGAAGCACCACCAACCCAACCACCTCCACAAGTGACACACTCATTGAGTGGACTCAGTGGGTACCAGAGCCCTGCTGAAGTAAGTCTTGCTCTGTGTGGTGGGCCCCTGCACAGCTGATCCTCCAAGGTAGTCAGAGGCCAGTGGTCAGTGGGCATGGCCAGTCCTCGCAGATGATCAACCTGAGTAAATCCCTCCCATTGACATGCCAATAGCAATTAAGACTCAATTACAACAGAAGGGTGTACAGTCCATACTAGGGGTGTATCTTGAGGGCCCAGCTGGGGTGATCAGGGAGGCTGTGCCACTGAACCCTACAGGACACCTACTACAATAGGCCACCCTATGAAGCCTAGGAGACATAGCAACTCTACCTAATACATAGAAACAATCACAGGGAAGCAGCCAAAAGGAGGAGACAAAGAAACATGTCCCAAATGAAAGAAAAGAACAAAACTCCAGGAAAAGAACTAAACAAAATGGAGATAAGCAATCTAACAGATGCAGAGTTCAAAACACTGCTTATAAGGTTGCTCAATGAACTTAGTGGAAACTTCAGTGAACTTAATGAGGGCCTCAAAACCACAAAAAACAAAATAAAACAAAACAAAAACAAAAACAAAAAAAGCCAGTCAGGAATGAAGGAGGCACTAACTGAAATAAATAATAGTTTACACAGATTCAATAGTAGAGTAGGTAAAGCCAAGAAGCAAACAATTAATTTGGAATATAAGGAAGCAAAAAATACCCAATCAGAACAGCAAAAAGAAAAATGAATAAAAAAAAAATGAGGATAGTATAAGGAGCCTCTGGGACAACTTCAAGGGTACCAACATTCGCATCATAGGGGTACCAGAAGGAGAAGAGAGAGAACAAGAAATTGAAAACCTATTTGAAACAATAATGACACAAAACTTCCCTAACTTGTTGAAGGAAACAGACATACAAGTCCAGGAAGCACAGAGAGTCCCAAACAAGATAAACTCAAAGAGGTCCACACCAAGACACATACATCATCATCAAAATGCCAAAGGTTAAAGACAAAGAGAGAATCTTAAAAGCAGAGAGAGAAAAGCAGTTCATTATCTACAAAGGAACTCCCATAAGGCTGTCAGCTGATTTCTCAAAAGAAACTTTGCAGGCCAGAAAGGCCTGGCAAGAGATATTCAAGGTGATGAAAAGCAACGACTTACAACTAAGATTACTCTATCCTGCAAAGCTATCATTTAGAATCAATGGACATATCAAGAGCTTCCCAGACAAGAAAAAGCTAAAAGAGTTTATCACCACCAAACCAGTATTATATGAAATGTTGAAGGGTCTTCTTGAAGGAGAAGAAGAACAAAAATATAAACAATAAAATGGCAATTAACACATACCTATTAACATTGAATGTACAAACAAAATGAGTAAGCAGAACAGAAACAGACTCATAGATACAGAGAACTTTTTGTTGCTTGCCAGATGGGCAGGGGCTGGGGAGATGGGTGAAAAAGATGAAGGAATTAAGAAGTACAAATTGGTAATTAGACTGATGAACTTCAAAGGGAAGGAGGGAGGGTGGGATGAGATAAACCAAACAACTTCTATGAATATATGCATAACCAATGGACACAGATAATAGTGTGAGGAAGGCAGGAGGGGAGCAGAATTGGGAAGGAAGGGGTCAATGGGGAAAAAAGGGGGGGGCATCTGTAATACATTCAACAATAAAGATGAGTTAAAAAAATGAGTGGTAAAAAAAAATTATCACCTACTTTTTATCTAATAGACATTAAGTAAAAAAAAATCGTTTCCTTGTGTTTCGGAGTTGACATGGTCTCAATATTTATCACAGAAAAAATTACAGGTAGTATAGGAGAACAAGCACAGGCGTGTTGAAAGGTTTGGAACAATTGGAACAACAAACAGCTCTAGCCCAGTGCTGCCCAACAGGACTTTCTGGGATGACGAACAGCCTATGTCTCTGCTCTCCACTACGGTAGCCACTAGCCCCATGTGGCTCTTGAGAACTTGAAATGTGGGTAGTGTGACCGAGAAACTGAATATTTAATTTTAAATAATTAAAGTTTAAATTTAAGTGGCCCCATGTGGTTAGTGGCTACTGCATTGGAAAGCACGGCTCTGGACTTCAGCGATTCAAACCCAACCCTTCTGCATCTGCACTGCTGGCCATAACCAGCAGCAGCAGGGTCTTCTAATCCTGAGAGTATGTGCGTGGACTCGGGGGGCTCTTGCATGTAGCTCTGCATCTCAGCCTTAGCTCAGTGGAGTCCCAGGAGAAGACTAAGTCCCAGCTGAACCGGTGGGGAATGTCATGAAAGATCTCTTCCAAAGCTCCAGGCTGGACTTTCCACAAACCAAGAAGACAGGTCCTGGGTTCTCTCAAACTCAAGCCACAGAACCAATCCCACTCAACAGAGTCCCAGAAGACAAAAAGTCCTGCTTAGAAAGAAAACCCCCCAGGGGTTAGGCTAGCAACAATGTAAGCCCCAGAGAGCTGCAGCACATTGTCTCTTTCTGCCAGGGTCCTGCCGTCACCTGGAATGGGCTCAACCACCTGCTCTTTGCCAGCCAAGCTTGCAGGGCTCCGCAGGGGCGGTGGCTGGTGGCAGGTGCACCCTCATCAAAGCGCGCCCAGAGAGCAAGGTGTGGAAAGTGCCTCCGCGTTTGTAGTGATTGCCTCTTGGACACACACCCTCACAGTGCCCCTGCCTTCTGGTCCTCAAGCTAAGAGTGCTCAGTCACTCCACCAGGTTCATTGGTGATGGCAGGGGTGAGAAAGGCCATTTCTGCGGTGGGCCGGAACGCTTGGGGCGTCATGCTAGATGGAGAATCAGAGGCCCAGGACAGAGGTCGGGACATCCAGAGAGCT